CCAGAATCGCTTCATGGCTGAAATGTCAGGAAGACTGATGGGACAATGGGTTAAAATTGTTTTCTTTCTTTCCGCCTGACCTTGATACTACCAGATTTTTTTACCACGTTTGGAAAGTTTGAAATTTGAAATTTTGACCGACTAAATGGTCTCACGTTTCGCATCGCAGATTCTCCAAATAATTCATATATTAGTAACTCATGGTGCTTTTTAATAGCTCTGTGGCATTTTTCTATAATAGACTGATTTTTGCAAATGCATTCCATATCAATTTCGTTTTCTTGTTCATTTAAGGAAATTATCTCGTTTTCCCCTGAGGTATAAGATAACCGTGATAAGCACAAAGCTCCACTTGGTCAGTTTTTGACTCACTTACTTTTATTTCTCTAGGCAAAACGTATTTGCTGAGCATGACTTATGTGTTGCTGAAACTCACCTCCAAATCAGTTCCAATAGTTATGCTGAGCAATTCTTTTATCTTTTTGGTAGCTCTCCTCGGACTTTAGCAAGCAATATTGCGTCTTCTGCAAATTGCACATGGTTAAAGTAATGTCTACTGATGTTGATTCCGTTGTCGTTCTAGTCTGACGTTCAGGCAACTTGTAATAAACTAGCTGTCAAGCGCCTTAGGGTCGTCAAAGTCTTGCTAAGGAACACGATACTTAACTTGGATATGTTCAGTCATATATTGCAGTCTACGAAGTCTTACTGTCTGTGTTGCCTTATCGACATCTTTTAATGCTGTCCGCGTAAATCTACTGAATCCACTGTTAAACTGAACCAGCTCGAAAGAGAACAGGTTCTGGTTCAAACGGGTTAACTGTTATTTTTTGATACCCAAAATTAGTCAATAGCAGTCATTTCTGTCTTTCTTATTTGAATAACTTTTCTTATACTTTCAAATGATCGTTTGTGCAGAACCTCATTCTTAATCTCCTCAACTCATCCACACCCGCACGATTTGGCCTTCCTGTCATTTCACTCTAGAGTGTCAACACATTTTTGAACCGGTCCATGAACGGTGCATAGACATTTCAGTTAACTCAATGAGAACCATGAAATAATATGACAGCATTTGCTTTACATTGAGTTTGCGTTGAGCATAGTTTATAGTGTCGATAGTATGCCTTAAACAATTTAGCAGAATTCCCGTTAGAACCATGAAGAACACGGATAATATTGTCCTGCTGCAAAATAATTTTTCATACAGTTTTTGGAAGCTTGACGATAAATTTGAATATTCTCTGAGAATGGAAGTGCGAAACACCAGGTGATGTCAGATCAGTTCCGCTGCTAATTAAATTGACGGGTCATATGCGTGCAGTTTAAAAAATTGCTAAAGTGTTTTACGCGGATATACGATTCATCGTTAGCGTGGTCTTTTACGTGTTTATTCCATCCATAGATATTGCATTCATCATTTACCCCGATCTGTTTGGACATGTTACGGCACTCGTCTACGATTTATGGGTCACTAACTGATCGTTGTTTACCTGAATTCTACCAGCAAATAGTCTAAAGTTTAATAAAGTATAATCAACAGAGCTATATAATGCATAATAAAGGTATACGTCATTTCAAGGTAATTTATACGAGTATATAAAATAGTTATTAACTGTTGCAGTTCAGAAAAACCGTGTCCCATAGTGCGAACAGCGATTTTATTTATAACTTTAAAATTTTCATTTCATATCGATAAAGAGACGATACTCCGTATAATTAAATTTTTCTCGAAAGTACCGTAAAAATTGACATCTAAGCACCAGCCGTTTTCTCGTAATTATGTAGAATTACGAGATCCCTTTTATACCCAAGGGACGGCCAGTCTTTCGCGAAGAGCTGAGCTGTCACGAGGATGGCAGCATGCTAAATTTAATGCTCAACGCATTTTCAGAATGTCTCATACCATCCATGATGGCCACCACGTGAAGGCGTTAGACGGCCCCATGCCCTTCTGCTAGACTGGGTGTTAAACTTTCATTTGACTCAGTTACAAAGAGATGGTCGGGGGTTACTTTTGACACGCTTCGAATAAAACGTCCGCATTAGCCGATCTCACCGACGTGTCAAAAATTCTAGGGATAGGCGGCTGGCATGGTTCGATTATTTGCAATGAAGCGATGACGTTTTATTGACTCGTCATCTGCTGACGTTGGAACCCGATCGTGGGAGGCAAAGGATCGATGGCCAGCCAATCACACAGCAGAGCAGGCTAAACAGTGATCTGTTGTCGATGAGGAATCTTTCCTTCGTCGACTCGGTTAACAGCTCCTGACATCAAAATGCGAACAGAGGAGATGGGAGGAGACTTTAAGTCTGCAAGTTTGCAAGAACGCAGATGATGATGACGTCAAACAAAGGAACAACGACATTGGAAATCTCTAAACGCAATGCCACCATTACGCTACCGAAAGACACAGGTTTAAATACGTCAATCTGTTGCACTCACAGAATCTCACCTCATTCTCTTGTCAAAGAGCATTGCTAATTATTCGTGAGGCAAGTCACGTGACTCAAGAAACAGTCTTACATCGGCCGTATCTCATTTCTCAGTGAGTTAGAAACAGACCTGAACGAAATAAAATTTTCACCAGTAGGCACGTTTTCACCTTAGGGTTTTCACAGTTCGTTCATTTTGAAATCGATAAGCAAAGTTAGTCAGTGAAATGGGAAATGGTTTCTCATCCAGACACTTCTTAAAGCATTTTATGATTCTGGGCTGATAATTTATTGACCGGATATCTAATCTATTAAAGTCACGTGAGTTCATGACCCTTTGAAGACTCAAACGAAAAACAACTGTGGCGAAGTTTCACTTCAGGCGTGTTTTGCTGTTGATCCTGTGACCTCCTTGGAACTCCTCCTCCTCCAATAACAACGGTATTTAATAGTTTGAAAACAGAGTATTTGATTCGTTTGCTTTCCTTGGCCTAGTGAGGCACTGCTGGAGAGTGGAAATAATTGAGAATTCATAACTCTGTACTAATACTATCTTCCTGATCTTCCATGACCGCTTCTCTTCTCTGGTCGTGGAGGCAGACGCTTCATAAAGTGCTTCCAACGTTCCCAATCCTAAGCTAAAGTCTGAGCTTCGGCGAAAGACAACTGGAGTCTGGAGCAGACTTCTTCCATATATTTGTACCGCGTTAATATTGGCCGTCCCCTAGTGC